TCAAAAATATTGAAAGAAAAAAAAAACTCTGGCATCATTTATGAACGTATTTCAGTAGGCTCAAAACCTTTTTAAATGAAAAGAAAATCACACTAAATTGGCCTTAATTTATGTGAGTCCATTAAAAAAAATTCAAACGTAGTAGTTTCCTTTATAATAAATAAACGTAAAGTTTAAATGAAGGAGACGTTACGGAAACAGTTGACAAAATATATTAATTTTTACACAGACTTTCTGTTGAAAATAAAGTTATGATTAACAAATTTATTTATAGCTAGCCTAAAATTTCGAAATTTTTAATTAATGAAGTTTTGCACAAGTATGCAGAAAAATATAAAAACATGCTAATACTCATTACATTTTAAAAAATTTAAAAAAATAAATACTTGAACATTTAAAATAAAATTGAATTTTTCTTAAATAATATTCATATTTACTTTTTATACAATACTGAATTATATTGACTAGTAAAAATAATACAGTTTCTTACGTTTAAAAAAAAATTTAAATTCTGGTTCTCAATATCTTTTTTCTTTCCTTCAGATAATGTGAAATTCTCGATCAATCAAAATGATCTTATCTGCTCTTACAGTTTACACTAACACCCTTAAAATTATCACGTTTCCAAATTTTTAGAAATAAAACGAATTCCAGACCACTTGATGACCAATCACATAGACAATTCAGGTATGCGAGGAAGCAAATGAAATCGTTGCTATCAAAGCAAAACTATTATTTACTTTTGGCAACTCTTTTGCTAGTTCGGACCACCCATTAAGAAGAATCCTTTACCTGAACAAGGACAGCAAAAACAAATATTGACCGATTGATTGATATGTTTGAGTCCCAAACTGAAATATTTGAGGTATCTTTAATGATTAGCCATGCAGTTTTACAAACGTGTTCGAACAATAAGTATTTATTTTAAAATAATCGATGCATTCACATATAAAAACAACAAAACTTTTCCTGGGTTCCAATTTGAGATTATGTTTCAGAATTTTAAAATTTAATTTTTTTTTAATATTATTACAATATTAATGTTAATGTTTGTTTGTTGTATGCAGGTTACTTTTATTTAATCACAAATTTCATCGTTTTTTTTTTCACGTTGTATTTGTTTTTATTTTTCGGGCTATTTTTTTCTACGATTTTTTTTAATTCCCTCAAAAGATTCCGGAAAATTTCTCTGCGAAAAATTTTTGTTCCGCGCAAAAAAAAAATTATTTTCATTTTTTTAAAACGTAATGATAAATAACTAAACAAAACTTTTTATTCTACTGCTGGTAGTTTGCAAGGAAAGATGTGAAAAATGCAAATATTTCCAATATGACTAAATTCCATATGCACAGTGTTAAATTAATATGTTAGATTAATAGTTAGACTAAAATACTGGAAATAATATGCACATTTGAACCATTATTATTTACTATATGCCGCTACACAAAAATAAAATTTATAATAATAAAAATAAATTTATAAGAAAAATTAAACCAACAAAACAGACAGAAAAGATATTTATTAAAAAATATATATATTTATTAAATCTGCGTTGTATTGCTATCATAATTTATAATCATTGTTTTAACTTTCCAGTTGCATTATTTTAGCTTGTTTGGCAATTAAAACTTCGAAATAATATTTTAGAAAAAGGTGCATTAATAAAAATTAATTAAGAAGAAAACCTGTGGACAATCGGCCTGCTATCTTATCTCTTTCTCCTATCTAGGTGAACGGCTTACATATCATTCCATTCTCAATCCTGGTATATTCGCGCCATCTACATTTTTGTTAAGGAACAATTTCATAAAATAGCTTCAGCAGAAACAATTTTTTTAATGGTTTGTTGCAAAGGTGTACGATCTTTTTCTGTTTATCCTTCTTTTTCTGCTTTTCTTACGTAACTTAATAAACTAATAAATTCCAAAAAACCTTACTCAGTTTTTTTTTTCCTTAAGCAAGGAAACAATGATGGAATAGTTCTTTTCTTTCCCATAAAAAAAGTTACATTTTAAAAATATTTCAGACTATATATATAAATATATAAACTCAAAATGAAGATAAAACAAAGGAAAATTACAGACATATGAAAAAAGAGGGGAAAAGAAAAATAATAATAATAAAAGTAACAAAAAACTGAGGGGGGGGGG